AAATATATAAAATATTAATTAAAATAAAAATCAAATATATTAACTATATTTTTTTAATATTAAAAATTTAAAAAACCTATCGCTACAACCTAGTACTCCTAAGCCGTGGTTATGCAATTTGTTTTCCACTCATATATGTTAATAGCCACACAAACCCTAGTCCATATGGAGTAGGGTTTTGGCTATGTAGCCTTAATGGGCTACATTGACTCACCTTGAATTTTTTTTTATTCTAACACTTGAAGTAATTTATTATTGAATTAACTCGTATAAAATTAATTTAATCTATTTTATCAATATAATTTTATAACTTCATTAATTGATTTTTCTTGTGAAAATTTATCTTTATATAAATTATTCCATTTTCTATAAACTTGGATTATAAAAATCCCCCAATTCTAAAAAACATACTAATTGTGTGACATTGTAAGTTTTTATCGCAATGACAATGAGTATACCCCACAACCCAAAAGTGATAGATAACAACACATTATGATCATTCAAAGTGATAGAAATATTGACGGTTTTAACTAACCTTCTTATAATTGATACACTTATTTAAATTTTTTATTTTTTATTTTTATGTTGGTTGCACAACATAGACAACCCTCTCTCATCTCTTACTCCACCTTACCCGCATGCCATATAAGTTGAATTCAGAGTTTTTTACTTCCAACGAAAAAAGATTATCACTTAGTTACCTGAATTATTAGCACTTGTTTAATTCAATACTTTCAACACAAATATCTTAATCAAGTAAAATACATGTTATATATATATATATCATCCTTAAACTTTTAGCATGACATAGTTTCTTTGATTCCTAGGATGGACTTACTTATTGAATCAATTCTTTCATTCTTGTCGTGGCCACAGACTTTTAAACCATCCTATCTCAATTAAAGGGCCTAGAGATATCCTTCTTATTAATTAAAGAGGGATGAATTCTATCTTGACGCACTCATTATTTTCATACAATTTGTGATACACCTAATAATTATATTACTCGCAATCCCACACAGCAGTTGTTATTAATAACATCTAAGTACACAACTCCTCGCATAGAATAATAATGATCTTAAGTCAAAGTCAAAGTATCCTTTACACTTGCATCATAGCTAAGATACTACTAATGACATGCATGTAGTGTTCTAATGGTGGGTTAATCTAGTGCATGCACCTTCTTTGAGCCATCCATATGTGATGCATGACAACTTTATGAGAAGAAGTCTTATCATCTAGCAAAGCACAAATGTGATAGTTTTTACATCAATTGATGTCACATCTCAATAATGTGTACAATAATAGACAATTTAAAAATATTGCTATCAATTCTCACTAATAATAATAATTAATATAATAAATGTAATTATAAGTACATAAAATTTCTTGCTAACTTAAGGCAAACTCTAACACCTGATGCCTCGAGAGTTCCATATCCTACACTTATTTGTTCAATTCCCTTGGCCTAGCTTGAGTTTTTCTAGGAGTGTCTTTTGAGTAGAAATTTTGCAAAACTCTTGAATCATAAAAATGATATTAAATAATTTTAAAAATTGGTAGAATTCAACAAACTCAGAAGTTAAGCTATGAAACCAATATTTCAAAGTTCAGACTGTTATGTGAAGTTAGGATCAAGTATCCAACGCAGGTGTTTTCTATATTTGTGAATAATTTTCTTTAATTTTGAATGGCTCAATCAGTTTATCAATTGGTATATTTAGTTTAAAGGAAATGGAAAAAAGAGAAGGGAGGAAATTTCCTTAATTTGATTTTTTAATTTTAACTTCTTAATTCAATGTAATTTATCTAAATGAAGGGATGCGGTGAAAAAATATTCCCCCATTGATCCACTCTTATTTGTTTTTCTCAAATTAAATATATCTTTAAGGTGTTTGAGATGTATCTTGACACCAAAATATAAGCATGTAAAGGTAAAATAAATAGTTCATGTGAATAGCTTATGTTACAAAGATGTGAGAAGAAAAAAACTTTTCATTTTAGTTTTTATCTCTCTCGAAGCTGACTTAGCTTTTAAAAAAGTCAAAAGTGCATTTTAAAAAACTGTGTTTGGCCTGATCATTTTTGTTTCTATATTAGAGAAGCTTTTCCAAAGTAGTCAAACGAGCATTTAGGCCTGTAATTCTTTGGTTCATACCTGACTGTGGATCTTGGTTTGTAAGGTGCCATTCCTTGTTCGTAATACAAATAAAACTACATTTAATGAAAAGGGAAAAAAAAACGGCATGTTGTTGAGTTTGCCTGGGTTCTTAGAATCCATATAATAAGTTGGGTGATGCTGTTTTCTTTCTCCCTCCCTCCTCTTTAGTTGCATGTTTGTAACCCCAATAATAAAGAAAAAGTATCATCTTATTGTGCCTTTATTTGATTTTCAGTAGCAGATAATTGGACAAATATAACTTGCTCTAATTGCTGCATTTGAGGGTCATTCACTTGGAAACAGAGACATGATATTATTCTTTTAAAGGTATTGGTTACGATTATTAGTAGTACTGTGCATGTGCTCCTTCATGTGGACTGCCTATAGAATGAATTTTGCTTGATTAAAGGTTCAATTAAATTACTTTATCTTTCTTAGTGACTGCAACTGAAACCTACGGTGTTTGTTTTGAAACGACCGTCTTAGTTGGATTGTTAAAATCTACTGACTGAAATTGGGAGTAGAATATACATCTTATTTTGCAGCTGTGATTAGTTATAGAATCTTTCCAGAGAAATTGACATTTGTTAATAACTATTTCTTTTGTATGTGTGTGTTATTGAAAATGATTAGATTGATTAATGAGTGCATAAATCTTAAAGAAACAAGACAATTTCTTTTGTTTGAAGGAACAAAAAAACAGTTAAATTCCCTCTATAGTAGTTCAACTAGTAAAATTGTCATTGGATTTTGATGGTGAATCCAATGACTCCACTGTTTAATTTATATGTATGTTGCTGAGTCTGAGCTGATGAAATTATGGTTCTCGGCTTAAACAAGTGTTATGAGTATCTTTCTGTAATTAGTTCTGCTCCCATAGTGAGATTTCGCTCTTAACTCTGCTCCTGGATGTTCATGACTCGAATTGAACTAAGTCTCCTTTGCTAGTTTCTTTTTCTCATCTCCTGTCAGGAAAACAAGTTATCTTCTCTTCAATCATAGGATTACAACACCTTGAGCTGTTGCAATCAGAATTATAGGTCTTATTACTTCTTACCATTGGCGGGCTACTCTTTTGGTTTTCTTAAGTAGTAACTAAGCTGTAAGTCTTGATTCGAGACACTAATAACAGAAAAGAGCTTGTGGTTGCTTTTGCTTTAGCCATTTTTCTCCATGTTATAACCAAATCATGTGCACCATGAACTCCTTTTCATCTTCAAAAAGTGATCCCCGGCATTCTTTTTGTCCGCACTCAATAGATGCTCAACTTTTAGTCCAGTGAAAGAAGCCCATGTCGTGGATTACATTGTCAGCATGTTTAGCAGAACATGTTCAGAAGTAATTCTTTATTACATGCTCAATTTTGGTCTGCCTAAACATCCCACAATCCCCAGTCCCTAGTCCCCACCTCAAAAATAGAGATAAAAATGGGTCATTCAATCATGCTTTCTTTTTGATCCTCGGTAACAGACAATTGAAACTCAGGCTCACTTGGGAAGAGAGACATAACCCTTTTTTTTATTGGTAGTAGTGACTAGTCATGATAATTATTACTAAATACATTTGTATTTCTATTTCAAATGTAGAATTCGAAGTGTTACAATCCACATGTTTGCATGTGTTATTGAAGACTCTTTTTTTTTTTTTTTTTTTTACATTTTTTGCAATCTAGGTACATTTAGAAATTTCATTTAAAGGTCGATTTACATACTGGATCCCCGCCACCCAACTTTAGATCCATATTCATTTTATTCTCGGAAAATAACAATAGGTACTCATTGTCTAAATTTTCAGATGTTCTTTTAATGAAACTTTTGTCCTTATTTTTCAAAATTAAAAAGATTGATTTTGCACGTTAAAACCTTCTTTCATAGCTACTATTAAAATTTTTTTTTGAATTATTACATTTTGAATTAATAATTATAGAAAAGGATTACACTCCTTTTCCTTCACCATGGATTTTTCCCACAAAGTTTTTCTTAACATGGTTTGTAATGAAATTGTTTAATAAGC